CTTCCAAAATGCAAATGATCCTTGGGGGAAAGCAACATACTAAAGCACATGACAAATACTTTTCTGAGGGAAAGGCAGGTGGGATTAGAGAGTCAGAGAGCTGGTAACTTTTGGGCCTGTGGGAGCAGCAGGAGGAGAGGTGAGCACTGAGAGGAAAGCCTGGTGCCTTGAAAGGCTTTGGTCATTGCAGCATTGTGGAGAGGTGGAAGGAACACGTCCAAGGAGGGCTGGCCTTGGGGGAGGTGCCTGGATCCAGAGAGGCACTGGGGAGGGCTGTGTGGTATCCCATAAAAGAGGAAGGAGAGCCAGGGTTTAGCATCTCACACTCACTCAGGATGATATTCTTTGTCCTAGGATTTAACCTCTAGAGATGATGGAGTATAACTATTTACACTGGTTAGCTGTTTTTCCTGATTTGTGAGGACCTGGGATCTCATCAAAAGACTTAAAGGCAAATTTCTGAAGCACCAGGGATCTGAGGAAAAGGAATCCTTGCTCATCCAAACACTTACTTACACCCATTCTCATAACATATGCACCTGACCCCTTCCAGAGCAGTGGGCACCCAGTTTGGCTACACACACCCCCATCAGTCTGTGGAGCAAAGTGTGACCTCTCATCCATTCAAATATCTTTACAGAAGAGCCACATTTAAACAATAACTCTTTGCACACTTGTGGCATTCTCCCTTAGGACATGGGTTTTGCTTCCTTCTCTTAAGGATAACCAGTCTGTCCTGGAGTTAAAATAGCTCTCCTGGTGTGTGTGTGGGGGGGGAGGGGTGCTGGTAGCTCTTAAGTAGATAAGCCAGGAAGGACATTTTCATATTCTACCCTTTGCTTCTCAGCCCCTTAGTTGGGGTCTCAGGAGAAAGGTAACTTGGACTTCAATTATTTCACTTTAATCTTGGAATTTAAAATGTTTATGCAGAGGAAAGTACAACTGATTCATTCAGCTAATCACTTCCAAGAAGGGGTGGGGGAGCTCAGAGTTGGTTGCTAGTCCAAGGTCCCCAAGGGGCCAGTGCCAGAGCCAGCCTTGTGGGCATAGCCCAAGGATGATGTCAGGGCTTTCCAAAGCAGGTCCTTGTCATCACACTGTCTGACGTGTCTGCGGGGACAATAGCCAGCACTCCATTCTGCAACAGCTCCCAGCCAGCCTTGCACTGTGGGAGATTGGAGCTGAGGCCCAGGTCACCAGGCAAAGCACAAAGCCATAGACATGGATATTCCAGAGGCAGTCAGATAAGGTGACCTTTGTCCCTGTCTGCAGGAGCCTGCCATGAACCAGGAAGGATAGGGAGTAATATGCCTGCCCTTTTCAGGGACACTCCTCCTACTTCGGGGGAACTCAGTCTTTACCAGAATGAACCTTTCAGAACAAACTGGATTTTCTGGCTCTGGACTTGTGCTGACCTTTGCAAAGCTGAACACAGAATAAACTGCCTCCGGGGTGGTCTTTTTATTTTCTGATAATGTTGAACTTGGGAGTAACAGATGCTCTCAAGAACAATCAGAGCAGCTAGAAATTATTGAACACTTTCAGGGGTGAGGCTCAATGTTTCACAAATGTTATTTTATCCTTGAAGCCTGCAGAAGTAGCTATTATTCTTATTCTTTTATAGATGGGAAAACTGAGATTTAGAGAGATTAAGTAAATTGTCAGTATTAACACTCCCACTAACACAGTAGGACCAAGAAAAAAAATTTTTAAAAAGGAACCCAACTGGATTTGACTTCAGAACCCAAGTCCTTATGGACCACACTGAACGCCACATGCATCCCATCAAAAGGAAGCCACTGGCATTGGTTCTCAGAGGCCCCTCTGCTGTCACAGCTCTTGTTATCAGCAGGAACTGAGTGAGTGTGTAGCTGTGTGTGTGGGCTCCCTGCCCTTTCCCTCATCTTCTGCCCTAGAACAGACAAATTCAAACACTTGTGGCCCTGAAGGAGGGGTGATTGTCAGGACCCACATGATGAGACAACCCTTGAGTGGTCCTCAATTCATCCATCAGGATATTCTGATCTGGCATGTTATATACCTTTTAGATTCCAGATAAGAGTCATATTTGGGGTCCTGGTATTCACCGTGTTTGGGTGGGAGTAAACAGCTACCCTGTATTTGGTTGCGTGTGTGCATAGCTTGCTGTTTGCGTGGATTTGAGCAAGGGATCCTCTTTAAATGTCTGACGTTAGTTGATGAAGTGGGTTCCTAGGGTTACAGACTCTCGAAGATTGGGTCCTAAGAAAATTCTCTGCCCTGGTTGGGAGAGTTTCCTCCTCACCCTCCCCACTCTACTAGTTAACACTGTATACTTTTTTTTCCCGTTCTCACCACCACCACCATTCAATGAACCCTTCCCCTTTCTCTATCCTGTCCACAGCTGACATTTCAGGCTGCATTCAGTCCCACCTCCTCCAGGAGACCACTTGGACAACTTCAGCATCACTATCTCCTCTGTCTAACTGCCACCAACACTCCCCAGGCAGCATTTCCTTGACAAATTCTCTGATTGTGCACCACAGAGATACACAGATAACCTCTTTCTCATGCCTTTCCGTCTCTTCGCCATATCTTATCTGATTCTGCTTCAGCTTGTCTCTACTCTTAAAGTGAGAAGGGTGGAAATGAAGGAAGTAATTGAGAAATTCTCCCTTCAGCCTTGGGGGAAAGGGAGCTAATTATTGATAGTAGTCTTTCAGGGATTGGTTTGAAGACTCCCCATGGATACCCAAATCTATGGCCACTCAAGTCTCCCATATAAAATGGCACAGTATTTGCATATAACCCACACATCCTTCCTTACACTTTCAGTCCTCTCTAGATTAACTTTAATTATAATGCCTAACCCTACGTAAATGCTATATAAAAAGTCGTTATACTTGTTGTTTAGGGAGTAATGACAAGAAGAAAAGCCTGTACAGATGGAACTTTTTTCCCTAATATTTCCAACCTGCAGTTGGCTCAAGCCTTGGATTTAGATATTGACAGCTGACTTTATCTACTCCTATATTCCAAATACTCTGCTTCTAGACTTTTCCATGTCATTCTAATGCTCCACCTGAGCTCCCCCTGCTGGGTGTCAGAGTGGAAGGGACATGTGATTTACTGGGGACCATTGCCAAGTCCAAGTAACATTCATCATGACCACCCTTCTCAGAATCTCCTACCTTTGCTTCTCACAACCAAGTTGTCACATACAGTCCCTCAAATCTCAGAAGCTCAGGTCAAAGATTTTGTAGAATACACCATGGACAGATAATGTTGATCTTCTATGCTGCACCCGCCCTTGCTACCCTCCAAACAATGGAGGAGAGTTTGACAATGCTCCCTAAGCAGCAGGTGGCTCCACTTGAGGGCTTGCAGAAGAGTAATTGATTTTGCCACCCCCATTGCAGGATGCTCTGAGAGTCAAAAGGCTGGGACTTCAGTCTCAGTTCAGTCCCAAAATAGCTACATGGATGAACCTTGCAATGTCCTCATCTGGAAAATGAATGCCAGAAAATGCCCCTGCTCTGACTCCCTGGAACATTGCAGGGCCTTACAAATTCGACTGTTTTGCTGTTGCTGCCACTGCCAGGTTAGCTACTGAGACTGCTTACTATTTTGATCTCTCTCTCTCTCTCTCTCTCTCTCTCTCTCTCTCTCTCCATTTCTTGGGGGAGAAGAAGAGAAACCATTCTCTCTCCCCACTTCTTTTAACATTTCTACCCATGTGTCAGCATATGGGGCAACTTTGCAAGTTGGTTTGTTCTATTTTGCACAAGTGGAATGTTGTGCTCTGTGAGGAGTTGAATGGGAGTTTTTGTCACATGAAACATCAGACCACACAGAGAAGACCCATTCCATTTAGACAGAAGGATGTGGGAAATTTATAGAAGGCACTGAAGCTCTAAACCAGGTATGGTGACCCACTCTATAATACCAGCTTCTTGGGAGGCAGACAAAGGAGAATCAAGGTGTGAGGCCAGCCCAGGCAAAAGTGTGAGACCCCATCTGAAAAACAAACCAAAAGCAAAAGAACTAGAATGTGACACAAGTGGAAGAGCCCTTGCTTAGCAGCAGTGAGGCCATGAGTTCAATCCCCAGTACTGTGAAAGAAAAAGAGGAGGAGGAGGAGAGAAAGACAGAAAGAAAGAAAGAAAATAAGAAGCAGCAGCTTTCAGACAGTGTCCTATTGGGCAGAGAAATCCAGCTTCCCTAAGGGATGACAAGGTCACATGCAGGATTCTCTGAGACTGTGAACAGTGTTGGCTCAAGGTAAATGCCAAGCAGGTTTCTGACCTAATTATGAAAAAATGCTAACATTTGTTTATTTCAGATTTTAGTGAAATAGATTTTTTCTATTATTCTCTGTATTCATCTTATTTCAACATTTCATAGTTTTAAAACGTGCAAGGATACATTGAAAATAAAAGTTTCCATCGGTACAATGGAACACTGTGTAGCAACTTTAGAAATGAGAAAGATCTGTATGTTCTCACAGGGAAAGATCTCCAAGAAACACTCTAGAATGCCTACAGGGAGAAAAGCAAGTTTCAGAACAGTTTCTTGTGCTTGTTTCAGTTTGCAGTGCTAGGGATAGAACACAGGGCTTCACTCATGCTAGGTAAATGCTGTGCCACTGAGCCCCATCCCACCCTTAAATTGTATATTTCACCCAGTCCTCTCCATATGAAGTACCTTTTAAATGTATGTATATGTATATATATATCTGTATGCATGGAGTTGAATCTAAAAGCAACAAATTGTTAATAAGAGGTAACTTGTATAGATTAGACATTTTCATCTGATATGAATTTTTCTCATGTGCATTATTGCTTTTATAACCACAACAAAGCAATAATGACTTTCATAATGACCTATGGAGCAGAAACATTGGTGCCAAGCACCTCCGGGTTAGTGGGCTGCTCTTTGGGCCAGCCACTAGAATTTCCACTTGCTCTGTCCTTGCCTGGCCTCTTTCCTGATTTGACACTTGAATGTCTGTGTGGGGGTCCATGACAGATGCCAGCAGTGGTGGTGATGACAAGCCCCAAGCCACATTTGTTCCATTACTTCCAGCTCCTTGTTGCCTTTCCATTCGCTGCCGTGAGAGCTCCTTTCTCTTATCTGCACCAAGCCAGAGTCAAAAGTTTTGTGAGTGTGATTGCAGAATACCGGACTGGAAAGCTTCCTGATAATGCCTAAATTCCTTTCGAAGAGCATGGCTTGCAATCGGGTCAGAAGAGCTATGTGGCTTCAGCACATTGTGTACTGTGCAGTTGGATAATAAACCAGAGGAAAGTTGGCAATACAAAATGTAAGGGACATATTAGGATGCCGTTATTGTCCCATCTGGTCCAATAATCTCTCTCCCCAAGACAATTTATCTGTTGCCCCAGAAAGACTATGAAGGGACCTGAGGAAGAATCTCTTCATGTGTGAGCCATTGAGAACTTGCAAAATAAATACAAAGATATTATAAGGAATTAAAAAAAAAAACTCCAAGTAATGAAACAAGAATCAGACAAGTTTCTCAGACACATTTACGGCTTTTATAAACAGTGATGCTTTGGTTAAGTGGCTCTTTGGGACACTCCAGTGACATTAGCTAGTTCTGACATTAGGAATTTAAACTTAGTAGCTAGCCTCTTACCCTAATTTGCAAAGCTTGCTAAACATTTTGTACTGCGTGCCTTGCTTTGTACTTGAAGATGATGCAACTGTATCTCAAGTCTATCTCTCATCGTAAAACCTCAGGGAGAGGACAGTCGTCTCCTACTGCATTCTCCTTTGGCCTCTTGTACACCCTGAGTGCCTTTGCTTTCCTCCACTTTCGTTGCAAAAGGATTGGATTCTCATTGAGAATGAGTCCTGAAAGCAAAGTTTAACAAATGATGATAAACCTTTAATACATCATTTATTCTCCACTGCCCCACACACTACTCATAAACCCAAGTTCTCATGCAGGACATCTAATAATTTGAAATATATCTTCATTCCTACCTGAACTTGAAATAAACTGGGAGAGAGAAGTGGGTTTACAGCAGGGCAGATGCATAGAAGCATTTCCAAATCAGTCATCTGATGCCCCTACGCCACTGATGGATGTTGGGTTTCTCTCCTTCAGGCAACCAGGTGAGTTTCTCTAAGGCAGCAGATGCATTTGCCTTTGGAGAGGATAGCAGCAGCGATGGGCTTTCTCCAGACCACAATCGAAGCGAAGAGCCCCAGAGTTCTGCGGGATCCCCTCCAGATGCTAAAGCCACGGAAGCCCCTTTGGCAGGCCCTGTGGGGACAATCCAGGTAAAAATAAAAAACAACTCTATCTTAGTTTTGTCATTCTTCATAATCTTAAAATCAACACTCTACAGCTGGTGTTGCTTACAGATCCCAGAGCTGTCTTTTAAGGATGAGTCTTTTATTTCTGAGACATGATTTCACTCTGTAAGCCAGGTGGCCTCAAACTTTGCTATCATCCTGACTGAGCTGCCTCAGGAATGCTGGGATTACAGGTGAGCACAACCACACCTGGCTTACTTGATGATCCATCTTCTTACTGTCCCTTCTCACCCTGGAGATCTGTGTGTCATGACAAAAACCTCCAGGAAACACTGAAAGAGAACCCCCAGAACTATACCCCCTGACTTATCTCATGAGCACCTACTCTGTCAAGTACATACGTTTTATCTCCATTTTATGCATAGGGTAACTGAGGCACAGAGTGATTAGGTGATTTTTCAACAGTCTGGCTCAAAGTGCCATAGCAAGACTGATTTCAAAGTCCACAGTCTTCCCTTATAATGAGGAGTGATTGTTGGGTCCCAGGGAATGGGACAAGGAAAGGCTGACAGTGGAAATTTCAGGGAGGCACATACTGGTTCTACAGTAACAGGTACTTAATTACCAAGCCACTACAAAGTCAGCTTCCAGCTCGCACCCAAGCAGAGCTCTCACCTCTTCCTGGACAATCCACAAATCTTCAAGAGTGAGGAATGAATATTGAAAGCATTACTAAAACACACTTTACAGGGTCAGAACTGTGCACTTTACAGCCATTTCTCATTTAAGACCAGGTTCCCTCCAGGTGGGTGTCATCAGTGGTGATGACTGAAGCTCGTGAGGCTGAGTAACCACATGGTCCAGGGTCACTGAAGAGGGACCCACCCCTGAGGAACGTACTCCAGACGCCACATGCAAGCTTAATGGGCATGATGATGCTTGTGGAGACCCTAAAAGGAGATATTGAGGGGCATGCATGAGGAGGGAAGGAGATATGCTTGTGTGCATATGAGGTGTGGAAGCGCCTCCCACCCTGGCTTTACCATGTACCAGCTCTGAACAGAACCCTCCAGAACATAATTTTCCCTTTCAGAAGAGCATATTCCCCCTAGCCTCAAAGGGTTTGTTCCATAGACTGAAATTAAATATATGGGTTGAGTGTCTCTTATTCAAACTGCTTAGGAACTTAAGTGGTTCAGATTTGAGATTTTTTTTTTCAGATTTTGGAATATTTGCATATATACACAAGGTACCTTGGAAACCGGACCAGAGAATAAACAAGAAATACATTTATGTCTATATACACTTCATGCACATAGCTTGAAGATCATTTTATACAGTACTTTAAATAATTTTGTTCATGAAACAAAGCCTCATGCTACAGAATTTTCCACTTTTGTCATCATACTGGCCTCAAAATGTTTTGAATTCTGGAGCATTTTAGATTTGAGGATTTTTGGTTAGGGATGCTCAACCTGTGTTTTGAAATTTTTTCCCATTGGCAAAAGCACCATGCAGATATGAGGAATAGTTGCAGTAATTATCCAGGGCCCTGTTTCCCGAAACCATGTTAGTCACTGGTCACTGTCATTCCTATCTTCACTCCATCAGAGCAAACTTAGGGCTGCCAAGAAGCAAATGTGGAATGGGAGGGGAAAGGGAGGCATAAGAAGCAGAGCTGAAATATTCATGCACTTCTTGTGCAAGAGTTTATAATCAAAGCATTTTTCCTTCCCCCACATGCCAGAGCTGGTCTTTGCAGCCAAACTTCTTTGATAACATCAAACGGTATATCAGACCACTTGCACGTATTATTCTGACAGTAAATTCTTCAGCTTCTGATTTAAGAATGACTTGAGAAGAAGACAAGTTCTTTTCTGCTTAACCAGGAGAGGGAAAGAAGGAAGTAAGCACTGAGCAATGCCAGGAAAATGCAAAAATCATTTTAGATCATTTCATCCAGCAACCACATTTGACAGATGAGGACACTGAGGCTCTGAGAGAAAAGCATCCCATGGGGCCCATGACAGGTGCCACAGCTCAGGGAGGAGGGGTGAGGGGGAGAGGCGGGAACTGAGAAGCTCAGTCCTAACCCCCTGTGGGGAGAGCCCCTACCCCTTTGTTTCAGAATCACAGCATAGGAATGTGGGAGAAGAAAAGAAGATAATTATTCCTTTTTTGGAGACAGAAATATGCCTCTCATAAAGGTTTGCATGACCCTACACACACACACACACATCCATGTGTGTACACACATATACATGCACACATACATATACACTTGGCAGACGCATATTTCTATACACATATATATACTCATGAATATACACAGGTATACATACCCAGCATTACACATACTTAGTCATACACTCATTCATACACACATACATTTCCACATGTCCATATATGCAAAGTACATGCGTATAATTGTACATTCACATATACACACTCAGACATGTACTCATACTAATTCATGCATACACACATATATGCCAAGATGTGTACACAAAGACACACGTGCACAAATACACACATGTACACATAACACACATACACATATATATGTACATGTACACATATACCCAACACAGACATACACATAAAAATACATGTGCGTATATTCACACAAACACATACATGTATACACAGACACATATTCATATTCAGGCATAAACATAGGTCTGCATGTGAATCACACCCAGGCATGTATTCATACTTATTCACACACACATACACGCACATTTTTTTCTCTAACTACTAACACCTTTATCTTTCACTTTGCTTGTTGTTCTGCTTTTCCCAAGAATTCCTGCACCCACTCTTCCCTCTTCCTCTCTTTTTCAATCTCATTTTTAAGTCCAGGGGTAGAACTTGTCACAGATAGGCAAAGCTTCCCTTCAGGGTGACCAGATGTCCCAGTCTGTCCAGAACGAGCCAATCTCATACCTATTTGTCCTCCAGAATCAGTATTAAGATTGCCTCCTTTCTCTCACAGAAGTACCCTCCTTTGGATGGCAGATTTGGTGACATGCTCCTGGAGGGACTAGCGTGGCGTCTACTTAGATGAAAAGTTGGGGTGGAAGCACTAGCCTTCTGTGTAGAGGACTCTAAGAACTCTAATCACATGTCTTTTACTATTGTATCCTAATAATGTTAAAATCTGGGCTTTAGGATCTTGTTTCTGGCTCAGAAAATGACAAGAATGACTCAGTCTCCCAGCCCAGCAACCAGTCTGACTCGGGGAAGCAAGCGCTCAGCCCTCTCAGCACACCACTCCCTGTCCATGCTGCTGTAAAGGTACGAATGGGCCAGTCCTCCCATCCCTGCATGAGTGCCAGGCTCACAGAACCTGCTCAGAGCAGCACTTTCTAAGTCAGGTCTGACAACATGAAAGTCACACTGATCCAAGCATGGATTTGGTCCACTCGAATTGTCATAAAAAGGGAGTTGAGAAATGGGCCATCGGTGTTCATAGACCAGCACACATGGGTCTCTACAGTGGGGAAGCCTGGATGTTTGCATTTCTTTGGGAGCACAGCTCAGCCAATATGTTCCTAACTTAAAGGATTTCGTGAGCTCACTCTTGAGATGGACACAGTTTATACTAATGGACACAGGATTTGCAAGTGCTGTAAGATAGACAGTTGAATTTTCTGCAGGGAAAACAGCCCTGAAGATCTCACAGAATACAAAGCTTATCGTTCAAGGCAAAATCCCCTAGGGAAATAAGCATTGGGAGGGGGGTGGTTCATGGTAGGTGAATTATTGTAATGTATTCCTTATTTAATTTTTTTTTGCATTATATCTAGTAGTCCACAGAGTTCTCCCTTCTCAATTAGCTGCTTGGTCATCGTTGGTCCTTTATAATATTTTATATCACATACCTTCTATTTGATTCGGGAGCCTGTGTCTTTAGCTCTAGTACCACTCCTTAATCTGTGTTGAGATGAATCTTACAGGAGTTTTTTTTAAGGGTGGTGTAAATTAAATTAAGGAGCAGTGATGAAGTAAGAGTTTTATGTTTTAAATGAATGGCAGGCATTTTAGCTTCTCAGGAGAGGTGCTCACCAAGCCACAATAGTGCAAGTCACTCAGTTCAAGAGCTCTGAGATGATATGATTATTGATGAATTTTCTCCACACAGAGGAAGGAGGAGGAGATGGTTCATGTTACTTCTAAAGTTTCATATAAAGAGAATTGTAAACATTAATATTTCTACCAGAGCATTTAAATGTTTCATAGTTCAAATTAGTAAAGCTGTTAACCTCACTGTGCTAAAAAGATGTTAGAGGAGCCCAAAGGAAGGGCAGAGCTTTCAATGGAGAGCCATATCTTACCAAGACCCAGCTTTACCTGGAGGGCGTCTTATGTAGACATGAGCCACCATCCCTTCTGATTGGTCAGTGCCTGCATTCCAGTTGTTAAAGATCCATCATCATTACCTTAAGAAGTTGCTTACAGGGCTTCTCCACGGAGGAGGCAACTGAGCTGGGATAAAGGATCACTACCTTCCGCTTGATTAGATTCACTTGAGGCCAATGAGCTCTCAAGACCTCTGCACAGATCACTCTCTAAAACCATGAAAATCCTACAAAAGAAAAGGTCCTTTGCACTCTCTGAGAGACTGCATCTTAAAATGGAATAAATCATTCCTGCCCTTAAAGAGTCTACAGTGTAATTGGGCTATTAGGGTACCACTCACCCAAACAGTGTCTTGTGCAAGTAAGAAAGATGTTCTTGAAAGACTTGAGTAGATATTTCTCCAGAATACACAAATTGCTAACAAACTCACAAAAAGTTTCTCAACATCATTGTTCATTAGGGAAATGCAAATTAAAACCACAATGGAATACCATTTAGGATAGTTTTTACCCAAAATATGGCAATAACAAAAGTTGATGAAGATGTGGAAAAACTGAAACCCTCGTAAGCTGTTGGTGGAAAAGTCTGGTAGTTCTTCAACAAGTTAAAAAATAGATTTACCCTATAAAGTGACCTAGCATTTCCATTCCTAAACATATGCCCAAAAGAATTGAAAACAAGCATTCAAACAAAAACTTGTAGGTGAATAAATATCCATAGCAACACTCTTTGCAACAGTTGTAAGTTGGAACCAACCTAGATGTCCATCAACTGATGAATAAATAAAATAAAGTGTGGTATATCCACATTCATATACAATTAAATATTACTCATACATAAAAAGGAATGACTCTTTTTGGTGGTTCTGGGGTTTGAACTCAAGGCCTCATGCTTGTTAGGCAGATGTTCTACCACTTGAGCCATTCTGCCAGCCCAGGATACATTCTGCCAACCCATACTGATACTTGCTGCAACATGGATACACATTAAAAACATCATAACTGAGTGCAAGAAGCCAGACACAAAAGGCACATACAATATGATTCCGTGTATATGAAATGCCTAGAATGGGCAGATCTATCAAGACAGAAAGCAAGGTGATGGTTGTAGGGGTGTGGGAGAGGGGAAAATGGGAAGTGATGCTTAATGGGTAATGGGTTCCTTTTAGAATGATGGAAGTGTTCTAGAACTCGATAGGGTGATGGTTGCCCAATATAGTGAATGTACTAAAATGATTTACATAGTGATCTTTATGTTACTGTATTTTAACAAAAGAGGTACTCCTTCCCAAGGCAGTCACAGCCTCCTACCAAGGCCAGTGGCCTAGGAAGAAGAATGGAGGTTGGATTTCAGTTTCCCTTGCCCCTTAGCAAGTAAAATGACCATTCCCTGGCAGCCTCAAAATGCCACATTGGGAGTGCAGACCAGGCACATCACTGTAACTTAGAAAAGGCTTGAGCCAGTCCTGAAGGATGAATGGCAGCCAGATAGCAAGGATGTGGCACATGGCAGGAAATTGCAAGGAAAAGAGGCAGGAGGCATACACGGCTGGAAAGGAGAGACTTGGGCACCTTGGTGAACTGTCTTCCATGGCAAACCACAGAGTCTGGGCTTCATCTTGCAGAGTGAGACCAGCACATTGACTGGGAGCTGCTGGAGTGTCTTGTTACTTGGCGGAGCTGAGTGTAGGAGTGTATGCGTGTTCAGGGTCGAATCAGTATGCGTCAGGAAGTCATCCACCTTCTAGCCACATGCTACATCACTCCTGCTCATTTTACACTAATCCAGTTCACACATCTGTCCCTGCATCTTTCAATGCCTCAGTGGATTTTCCTTTGATCAGTCTTTAGGAAAATGCTCCCCTACAACTACAAAGAGAAAAACAAACGAGCAACCAAACACAGCCTTAGAATCCCCTGAGCTCAAAAAAAGAATGAAACTATTCATTTGGATGGGTTCAACACTATTTGGAGAAAATGTTCTGATTTCAGTATTGTCTGGAATGCTCATAGTCCCTCTGCTGAGGCGACATGGAGAGGAAAAAATTTTCTCCCTGACCCCTGGCTTAGCTGCAAGACCCAGGACTGCAGCTCCTCACACTCTCTACAAGCAGCTGAGCTGAAGCAAGGCAGGGTAGAGTTGTTGGCAGAAGCCCTGCAGAAACTCTGCAAGTGCAGAAGACTGATTAATTAACTGGAATGCTAATCAATTAATGAGCAAGGGGAAATAAAGCCACCAAGCACACATATACTTGCACTCACTCATTATTCATTAGTCTCCGGGAAAAAGACTGTGAGATAACAAAAGAGACTTCTATGGTAGGATGCGCTGAGTCAGAGTAAAGCAAGTTGTAGGCTTCTCCATAAGGTCACGTTTGGATGTGTTATTTTGTTGGCTGAAATGGGAGGCTGCCAAATCGAGTGCACCTGCCAGCTATTCCGGAGTGCCCTCTACTGGACACTGCTGGTACCACACTTTTGCTCCAATTTTTCCTCATGCCCTCTATCATCTTGTCATGACATCCATGTTCATTTCAACTCCTGCTTAAAAAAAAAACTCAAGATTTGAATTTTTACTTTGTAAATGAAAATATGGACTCAATTGCTTCCTGATATATGGAGGCCTTTTGGTGCCTTAATATATGTAGGTTATGGATAGAATCACCCAGTTTGTTGAGTACCTGTTATTAGGTCATTATTATCCTTTATAGTCTTTATATCGATTACTAAGATACAAAGTTGAGAATATCTTCCCCAATTTTTATGTGATGGAATTGAAATGTAGTAAGCCTAAATAATTGTACCATTTTCAATTTTTTTTCTTAATTTCCAAGCCTACACCCCTAACTTTCTTTACTGTATCCAAATCGTCTACAGTGGGCAACTTCTGGGAAGAGTTCCAGTGGGTAACTAACCCTCCCCAAATAAGTAGAGAATTTCTTTACGTTTCTGAGGGTGTCACTTCCTGATTATGTTTGATGGGGCAGTGGACGGTGGGTGAAGGCAATTGCAAAAGTCTATTTTATTTTCCACCCAAAGCAATGGAGAAGCACATTCTGGATTTATAAAGACAATCTCAACTTCTTAATTTAAGTCACTAATAAGACCATTTGCTATGTGCTTACCTAAAGGTGACTATAGTATAAATGTGAAAGCACTGTCTTAGGAATAATCCCCAAATTGGAATGCTAAACTATCCATTGGCTTTAGGTTAGGAGAAGGCACTCATTGAAACTCAGGCTTACATTCCCTGATTCTACTCCAGGGAAGAAAGACTCCTGGAGCCCTTTTAAGATGTAAGGTCCCAGGATTAAGGCAAATCCTTCCAGGGTGATGCTTTTGTAGTAGATTTCCCCATTGGATACATTAATGTTGTGGGAACTCTGTGCATTGCATCTTTGTTCTTGGATTTTAGGTGCATTAGAAAAAAATTCATTGTATGATGCCTAGCCATTCTCATCCATCCCCTAAAAGCACATGCCACTTCCTCATCCTCTTTGCAGTCCAAGTCCTTGGGTGACAGTAAGAACCGCCACAAAAAGCCCAAGGACCCCAAGCCAAAGGTGAAGAAGCTCAAATATCACCAGTACATTCCGCCAGACCAGAAGGCAGAAAAGTCCCCACCGCCCATGGATTCAGCCTACGCCCGGCTGCTCCAGCAGCAGCAGCTCTTCCTGCAGCTACAGATCCTCAGCCAGCAGCAACAGCAGCAGCACCGGTTCAGCTACCCTGGAATGCACCAAACACAGCTCAAGTGAGTCCAACAAGCCTGGGTTGGTATTGCCAGCACAGGTGGGGAATGCCTTTCTACTGACCAAAGTGTGCAAGGCAGGGGAGGGCGACAGCACCAGGGGACCCAGCCAGTGTTTTCTCATCTGTATGTTTGGACTGTGACTTTCTTTAGAAACCATGCACACCTTTTCAGGACCATAAAGCTGGGAGGAAACAAACAAATCAATGCTCTTTGGAGAAATGGAATCATGGAATATCTAAGAAGTATTATTGGCAATCTCACAATTTTAATACATTTTTACTTAGGGAAACAACAGAGCTGGATACCTGAGTGACAACCTCAGAAATTGACTGCTAAGCCCAGACTGTGTGACCACCCTGCTAGGCCACTTTGTAGATGGTCAACATTCTTACCTATAAAAAACCACCTGTCTCTGGTCACACTTAGGTCATACTTGCAATGAGGCTGAACACTGAACAGTCAAGCTTCAGAAGGCAGAGCAGTGTGTTAGCTAAATCATGGGTGGATACCTACATTCCCAGTGCCACAGTCTCCACCATTCTCTCAGGTCTCTCCAGAGGGAAGCTTGAGTGTCTTTTGTCACTTGCCCTCTAGCCTGTGCTGTTTCTCCTAACCCTATCTCTTCTGCCAATTTGGATCCTGCTGGATTGTTGCAGGCAATTACTCTGTGATCCCATCCAAATGTAAGCAACTCCATACATGTTTGATTGTATTTTAAGTGCCTCTTTGTTTGTTTTTTAGAGAACCAAATGAGCAGATGGTTAGAAATTCAAACTCTTCTTCAACACCACTGAGCAATACCTCTCTGTCCCCTGTCAAAAACAGTTTTTCTGGACAAACTGGTGTCTCTTCCCTCAAACCAGGCCCACTCCCACCTAACCTGGATGATCTCAAGGTATAAGATTTAATATGATTTTCTTTTCTTTTTTTAAACAAACATAGCAACATATTGTTACCGGCATCTTTGAAACTTGATTTCTTGAGTGAAACATAGGAAGTGGGAAAAGAGTAGGGGAGAGACTCTAGGAGGAGGGCAAAATTATGCTATGGTGGTCAGACATCCTGTAGAGCACAAAGCTATATCCAGCTCAGTTTTCCCAGGCAATAGGACCTTGGGCTAGTCTTTACCCTTTTCAGCAGTTGAGATTCCTCATTTGCATAAATGAGTTCATAAGAGTCTAATGGAATGCTGTAAATGACAGAGCGTAGCAGAATATAGGTGTGTGATCTACATAAGCTTCCAGAATGCTGTAAACCAGTGGCCAATTCCATGATGAATTCCTACTAATAGCTGGTGAAATGTGAAAAATTCGAACCATACAAAGCACTTTTCATACATTTAAGTGCAATCCACATTTATTCAAAGTATATATTTCTTCCCCATGTCTTTAAGTTTAAAATGTCCTTTCCATTAGAAAATGATGACAATAATGGATGGAAGTTGAGTGTGTTTGGTTGGGTTCTATTTGTTCCTTTTTATCAAATAAGGATATTATTAAATAAGGATCTAGTCCTTATTGAATATGATACAAGGTTGTAAACCCACCATCAATGATATAATTTTTAAAATGTCCTGTTCTATTAAATTTCCAAATCTGGGAATTTCTGCCCTGAAGCAACAACTTGCTAAATGACATGTGTACACCAGTAACTTTCTCCAAATCACAGACCATACGGATCTCAGTTCACTGAAATGACCTCAAACTTCAAGTTGAACCTGGTATGTTTCAAAGCAATTCCTCAGGAGTGCCATCTCTCCACCTATCCAGCAAAACTGGATGAGATGAATGCAACTCCTCCACTGTGTGAATACCCCTCAATTCCTCGCCTCATTTTCAGCGATTACATTTGTTGGCCTGCTTTCCACCCCACCTGTTACTCTCCACAAACCACCTCACACTTTTTCTTCGAAAGGCTGCATTCTTAGCAGTCCCCGACAGCCTTCATTGTCCCAGTCCATCTCCATCATCAATCCTAATGACCACCTTCATTTCCACACTCAGCACTCAGTCATCATTTTCTTGTGGGGGAAGGGGAGGAGAAGGTAGGATTGCTTTTTTTTTTTTTTTCAAATTAAAGGATAGTCCATGACTACCAAGTGCCAACATGGTACATAAAATTTATCATGGGTCCTGAAATCAAAGACTCATCTATTGCCTCCACTTAGATTAAAAATACTCTCATCTTGTTGAGTTTGTTTCAACTTGGCATCTACACACCTAGAAAAAGATGCTAAGAACCTTCCACTCCCCAATCGTAAATCCAAAGAGATAAAGGAGGCAATCGCACCTTGAAAGTAGTATGCTAAGTGAAACAAGCCAGACAGGATGAATGCCATATGAGTCCACTTGTAGGAGATAAGGCGAATAGGGAAATTCATGGAGACAGAAAGTAGAATAGAAGTTACCAGGGCCCGAGCCCAAAACAGGCCATGAGGAGCTGTTGTTTAATGGGAACAGAGTTTCATGTTGAGATGATAGAAAGGTTCTAGAGATGGATGTGGTGATGACTGAGCAGTGACACGAATGTACTAATGCCACTGAAAAATAGTTACATGAAAAACTTTATTCTACCACAATAAAAAAATTTAACTAGGTAACCTCTGGATGGAAGTGCTTGGTCAGGTAGGACTGGAGAGGCCTTAGCCTTAGGAAAAAACATAGTACAGACATGTTGATGGCATTGATGAGAGCAAAGTCTCCCTTTATGTGCACATTGGAATCATTGGCTGATGGCAATTACAGTAATTAGGATAGGTAAAGGAGATGGCAATGGTGATAGTAGCTGCCATTTTTTTTTAGCATAAGCTCTAAGCCAGCCCTTCTATATAGATTTACATCTTGTGGGATCAATTTTATCATCCCAAATTTAAAAATGAAAATGAAAATCAGAATTAATTTTCAGACACTCTACCACTTAAGCCACATCTCCAGCCCTTTTTGCTTTAGATTATTTTTCAGATAGGGACTTGTGTTTTGTACAGGCCAGCCTCAGATCACCTTTGTCCTGTCTATGTCTCCTGCATAGCTGAAATGACAGGCACTTGCCACTGTGTCAGTCTTGCTAGTTGAGTTGAGGTCTTGCTAACTTTTTGCCCCAACTTGCCTTGACTGTGATTCTCCCAATCTCCACTTCTTGAGTAGTTGGGATTACAGGCATGAACCACCATGTTCAGCTAAAGATCAGAATCTTAAAGAGGCTAAATTATAGGCAAATTAACAGCTTATAAATGACAAAACTGGGGCTCGAACTTATTTATGTGATAGACTTCAAGGGTTTTGAAATCTCATGAGAGTGGAGAATGGAAAGGGAGAGATAGAGTGGAGAGTGTGGCTGGGTTTGACTCCTCACTGTGAATGGACCTAAGTCCTGGGAGAGTTGTGCCAATGGCAGAATCAGGGAGGTTAGAATGAGAAGCTGGTTTAAAGTCCATTCAGTTGGGGAGAGTTGGGATGAGGGTAAGAGGAAGACTATGGAGAGAAAGTCTAGCTGGTTTCTATCAGTGAGAAATACTCCCACCTACTTCAGCCCAGCTGTGTTGTTGAAGGATGCAGACAGAAAGTTTAGAATGTGGAGAAGATGTGTAGTGTGGGGAAAGATGAAAACAGAAAAGTAAGTGAGATTGAGGGAGATAAAGAGGGAAAGAGCAAGAGAGAAGGGGAAGGGAATAGGAGTAAAGGAATTGCATGATGCAATCACATTGTGGGAAGGAAGAAAAAAAAGGAATTTATGAAACTGACCCTCAAAAAAGTAATCAGGAAGATTAGATAGTGAAGGTGATATTTTCGGGAAATGATCCTGTGTTGCTACATAAAAGTAAAGGAAAGAGCAAGAAAGTATGATTTCTTCTTATTAATGGTGATATCCTAGTACATGGATTTGAGTGGGGGGGAGGTATCCTATTTCTAAAAACCTGGAGTGAGGGAAAGCAAGAACTGGGAGCTCTGAAAATTGGCTAATAAGAAACAGCTGTCCATTTTTAAGGTGTGATATGGTATTGTATCTATGTTTGTTAAGAGTACTTATCTTTTAGAGATCGATACCAACATATTTAAAGGTGAAATGATATCATTTGTTTCAAAATAATTTAAGAAAGTTGGACAAAACAGTTTAGGATGTAAAAACAGCAAGATTGGTATAAGATGATAATTGTTGAAGTTACCTGATGAATATATGGGTTCATTATACTTTTTTATCTACTTTTGTGTGTTTGAATTTTTCCATAAATGAGTTTTTTAAAAAAAATCACAAATGATTAAAACACTATTGAATATAAGGAAGACCTGTGTACAAACCTTTGTCTCAAACAAGCCCACACAGCATAATATTCTGGAATTTAAGGTAAATTGAACTCAACAAGTATTCATTTTATTTTAGAGTATGAGCTGCATTATTTAACAATGCAGCTTAAATTATTCAGTGAGAGAACGGATCCTAAAAATAAGCAGAGAACTCATTAATTTTAAGTAACTCAAAATTAAAACAATAATGAGTTTCATCTTACCCTTCTTCAAAGTAGCAAATCTTGAGAGAGAGAGAAAAAAGATACATGACCAGGAAGACTATGGGAGAATATCATATTACTACTGATGTAATTTGGAGCATTGTTTTTTGATAACTGTTAGTTGATTATGAAGTCACATATTCACAGCTGAAACATGAGAGTATATAGAAAAGTAAACAGTATTTTAATAGACAAGACTCAGAAAGCATGAGATTATATTTCCTTTTAGACTTAAAATGCATATAAACATATTTTGTTTCACAATAACTATTTTAAATAACTGTGTACCCATAAATTTCTGACATGCTTTCTTTAACACATCACGAACATTTTTCAAAACTTGTAATATTCAATAAAAGTCTTATTTTTAATAGCAGTCACCTAGTTAGCATTCCATTCTTGGACATTTAGCTGTCTGCCAAATTTTTGTTATTCAAAATATGATTTCACTGACCTCTGTATATATACTTATTAATGTCACTGGTTACTTCTCCAGGCTAACTACATAGGTGTGACATTCCTGGGGTAAATACATTAATATTTTTAAATGTTCTTGATAGGTATTATGGAATTTCTGTCCTGAGCATCTGTTCCCATCTGTTGGAGGAGCAGCATGTTAAAGCACCTTTGCTCAGATACTAACATGAACATGAGTCACTTGGGCTCTTTATTTTTTTTATTCATTTATTCACATGTGCATACATTGTTTGGGTCATTTCTTCCCCCCAGTCCCCCACGCCCACGCTCTCCCCACTTGGGCTCTTTAAAGGGCGGACTCTGACTCAGTAGGTCTGGGGAAAGACTTGGGGGTCCACATTTCTAACCAGCTCCTAGATATGGTCTACGCTGCCAGTCCCAGGACCATACCTTGAGAAGGAAAGCAATAAAAAAGACCATAGCCTTTGTAACATTTTTATTTATTTTTGCTACTACTTCACTAACGCAAAGGGTTACTACTCATTTCTCAATCTAATGAAAACAGATTGATTACTTTATTTGCATTTCTTGAATTATTAGTGATGATACATTATTGGCCACTTAAAATATTTCATTTTTGTTTATGAAGAGCTGGATCATATCCCTCCCCAATTTATATGTGAGGTGTCAACATTTTTCTTTTTTATCAGTAAGCACATTTGATACATTCAAGTTTTTAACACTTTAGTATCTGTGCTGCAATTAGTTTTTTCCGGGATTGCTATTTGGACTTGGATTTCGTTTGTGGCTTTTTGTCTTAGAGTTTTTAAATTTTGGTTGTCTTTTGAGGGGTAGTACTGGGGTTTGAACTCAGAGCCTCATGCTTGCTAGGCAAGTACTCTACCACTTGAGCCATGCCCTCAGCTCTTTTTGCTCTTAGTTTTTTTTCATGTAGATTCTCACTTTTTGCCCAGGCCAGCCTCAGCCACAATCTTCCTGTTTGTGCCTTCCCATGTAGTTGGGATGACAGATGCACATTATAGCCCCCAATCATTGGTTGAAACAGGATCTCACAACCTTTTTGTCCATGCTAGCCTGGAACCACAATCTTCCTGAGCTCGGCTTCCCACGTAGCTAGGATTATAGGCATGAGCCACCATGCCTACCCTGTCAATACCTTTATGATTACTTCATTTGCCTTTATGCTAAAAAGATCTTTCCCTGCAGAGTTTCAAATGAACTCCCTACATATTGCTTTTTGGGGTTTTTGTTTGGTTGGTTTTTTGGTGGGATTGGGGTTTGAACTCAGGGCTTAGCATTTGCAAAGCAGGTGCTCTATAGCTTGATCCACACTTCCAGTCCATTTTGTTCTGGATATTTTGGAGATGGGGGGGGGGTCTCATGAACTATTTGCCCAGGCTGGCCTCAAACCACAATCTTCCTGATCTCAGCTTCCCAAATAGCTAAAAGTACAGGTGTTAGTTACTGGCACCCAGCTACATATTCTATTTCACAGAATTATTGAATCTTAAGTGTTTAATGTTTCCTGCTTTAATCATAAAAGTAATTTGGAATATTTAGAAACTAATGATAAGTAGAACCCTTGTCAACACTTTACCATCATTTATCTAGATATTTTCACATGCCAACATAGGTTCAGATATATATGCATATTACTTGTTTTAAAAATAGAATCAATTCAAGCTTTCATTCACTTAATAAAAAATTATTCATTATCCAATTTCAACAACTATGTACAGCATCTATCTTGATGGATTATTTGCATGCATAATTGTTTATTTAACCAGTTCCCATATTTGTGTGTATTTTAATTTCCAATCTATGACATAAGAAATGCAATGATGAATTAATGACATGCTAATCAATGTACTAATAATAGCAAGCCCTTGCATTGCACAACCATTTTCTAGACAGTATTCCAATTGCTTCACAAAGTTTAAGCCATGTGCACCCTTACAAAAATGCACTGTGCAGATATTATTATCCCATTGCACAGAAAATGCACAGAGGACCACACAGCTAGTAGCAGGCAGGGCCAGAGTTTGAACCTGATGCACTCATCACCACATAGTGTCTCTCAATACGTGACTGTTATCCAGTCAGTCATTGAAATTAAGGCCAAAATGTTAATGTAGAGCCATGGTTCTCAAAGTCTGGTCTGGGGACCAGTAGCATCAATATCTCTTGATATTTCTCTTGGAAACTCGTTAGAAACATGGGATCTGGGTCCCCACCCCAGACCTACTGAACCAGAACTCCAAAGTGGGGCATGATCTGTGGCCACACCCTCCAGGGGCTCAAATATGCATGCAGGTTTGAGAAAGAGGATGATTTGTTTGGGAATTGCTGCTGAAGGGCTTGTGTCTACGCAAGACAAGTTTCCTCATCTACAGAAAAGGACAGGGACCAGGGTGGGGGTTGGAGGGAAGCAGATTAGATGACTTCCACCATTCATGTACATGTAGGTTCCACATTGCATGACCCTAAAGCTATGAAAACGTGGTGCAAATGGTCCCCTACTTACAATGGTTTGACTTAATGATTTTTTACTTTATCATGGTACAAAATGATACAAAGCCAATAGAAATCATACTTTAAATTTTGAATTTTGCACTTCTGCTGGGCTAACAATGCACTTATCTGATCCTGATCAGTAAGAATGCTGGTCACTTATCTGATCCTCTTGTAAGAAAAATGATCTTTTCTATCAAAGTATTTGTTACCCTCTTAGATCACTTAAAAATCCCTCAGGTCACTGTCTTAGGTGACTTGCATGTTTAAAGGGTCATTGCTTCTTCTTCCGGATTCCTGTACAACTCCATTGCCCACAAAACTGTACGTCCTAAACCATCCCCCAAGCCTTTTAGCCAGTCAGGGAAGATTGTGAACCTTTGACCTGGACAAATCCCAGATGAGGAACAAGTACAACTGTGTCAGGTATATAAGGAGGAGCCACTGTCAGCCATTTTGTGCTTGCATGTTTGCTCAGCTGGAGTGAGCACATGCTTTCACCCTCTTGATCAAGAGAAATTGCCTTGTCAAGATTTTTTGTATCTTGTGTGTCTGTTTTAGGCACCAAAGGGTTATTAATTCCAACACTCTCTCACGATGCTGGTCAACAATGACCTGGCTCCCAGCCGACCCTGTGGTCACAAGCACAAGCCAACATTCTAAGGCACACTGTGCTCCTAAGCTAGCATTCTGGGTAGGTTAGGTGTGTGCCACGCATTTTCACCTTACATTGGGCTTATGGAGGAACATGATCCCATATGTTGAGAAGCATCTGTATAAGATGATGTTAAAAAAATGGATTGGTAAAATTGTGAAGAAATGATTATAATAGAGGTAGGAGAGGAAATTAGAAAAGTATTTTTAAAAAGAGAGAAGTGAATATTGTAAAATTCCATGTGATATGTTAAATTTAATATTAAAAACACAATTTAAAATATTGCCATTAGACAGCACACTAATCACATCCTGGTTTCCTTAGGTCTCTGAGTTAAGACAACAGCTTCGAATACGGGGCTTGCCTGTGTCAGGAACCAAGACTGCCCTCATGGACCGGCTTCGACCCTTCCAGGACTGTTCTGGCAATGCTGTGCCCAACTTTGGAGATATAACAACTGTCACTTTTCCTGTTACACCCAACACACTGCCCAATTACCAATCATCCCCTTCCACCAGTGCCTTATCCAATGGCTTCTACCACTTTGGCAGCACCAGCTCCAGCCCGCCTATATCCCCTGCCTCATCTGACCTGTCAGTGGCTGGGTCCCTGCCTGACACCTTCAATGATGCCTCCCCGTCCTTTGGCCTGCACCCATCCCCAGCACATGTGTGCACAGAGGAAAGTCTTATGAGCAGCCTAAATGGGGGCTCTGGTCCCTCTGAGCTGGATGGGCTGGACTCAGAGAAGGACAAGATGCTGGTGGAGAAGCAAAAAGTGATAAATGAGCTCACCTGGAAACTGCAGCAAGAGCAAAGGCAGGTGGAGGAACTGAGGATGCAGCTGCAGAAGCAGAAAAGCAGCAACTGTCCTGAGAAGAAGCCACTGCCTTTCCTGGCCACCCCCATCAAGCAGGAAGATGCTGTCTCTAGCTGTCCTTTTGCATCCCAGCAAATATCTGTGAAAGGACAAAGCAGCAACTCAGAGAGCCAACCAGTGGCCTGTGAAGATGCTCATCTCCTGCCCCTTGGGAACACTCACTGTGTGGAATCCTCAGATCAAACCAATGTACTCTCCTCCACATTTCTCAGTCCTCAGTGCTCCCCCCAGCATTCACCACTCGGGGCTGTGAAGAGCCCTCAGCACATCAGTCTGCCCCCGTCACCTAACAACCATTACTTCCTACCTTCATCTTCTGGGACCCAGGGGGAAGGGCACAGGGTCTCCTCACCCATCAACAGCCAGGTGTGCACCACAAAGGTAAGAACATCTTTGTACAACACCCAGGGTCTCTCTCTTTCAGGAAGTAGGAGGTGGTTTTCCAACCACTAGAGAGCTGATGTTAGAATTTGGGAGTTAAAGGATTTTCGAGAAGGCCAGGAGGAACTCCCAAACACTGCAACCCACAGACCTTCACAGTAGACCCAACTTGCTTATCTCCTAAGACAAGGTTCACAAACTTCTATCAAGTCCAGATGGGCTTTGCAGGTCACACAATCTATGTCGCAAGTACTCAGATTTGCTCTTGTATCATGTACACAGTCATCATCTTGTAAATGAATGCATATGGGTCCAATAAAGCTTTATTTGCAAAAACAGGCAGTGAACAAAATTTAGCTTGTGGGCTGTAGTTTGCTGACCACAGTTCTCCTCACTTATTGGTGACAACCCTTATAGCCCAAATCATTGTATCAAGAGAACAAAAAGCAAGCTGGCATAGAGGAACACATCTGTAATCCCAGCTACTAAGGAGGTTGAGGAAGGCTAGCCTGGGTAAAGGTATTAGCAACAGCCTGTCTCAAAAAAAACACTAAACAAAATAAAAATAAAAACAAAAGAGCTGGGGGGTTAGTCCAAGTAGTAGAGTACTTGACTACCATGTGCAAGACCCTAAATATAATTCCTAGCACCGAGAGAGAGAGAGAGAGAGAGAGGAAGAGAGAGAGAGAGAGAGAAAGAGAAAGAGTGAGAGAGAGAGAGAGAGAGAGAAAGGAAGAAGAAAGAGGAAGGGAGAGAAAGAGAGAGAGTCAAAAGGGAAATTACCACACCTTATTCTTCTCTTGTGTAATGGTCCACATATTGGAAATATTTAATTCTCATGGGAAGGTAGACAGTAAGCAAAATTTTAAAAATTAAATTATGTGATGTGTTAGAAGATGGTACATAATATAGAGAAAGAACAGAGAGGGGGTTTTGTTTGTTTGAGAGGTTTGGAAATGTGCAATCTTGAATAAAAGGACCAGGGACGTTTGAGGAGAAAGTCTTGCAAATATTTGGGGTGAAGGCATAGGAGGAACTGCAAGTGCAAGAGCCCTGAGGTAAGAGCACATGTGGAACATTCAAGGATCAGAAAGGCCAGTGTGGCTGGAGCAGAGTGAGAGAAGAGTTGCAGGAGATGACTTAGACTCATAATTCAAAAACAGACTAGACCAACTTGATCAGCAAAGACTTTCCTTTTGTCCATGAAGCTGAAGAATTATTAGGAAAGTCTATGAGTCTATTTGAAAAAGAAAATTATATTATCAAAAGCTTCTGAGATCTACATTATTAGAAAAATGATTGGAACAAAACCCACATTGATTGGATGCCTGCCACGTGCCAAGTATAAAGAAGCACGAGGATAAGTAATTTCATTCATTGTCACAACAACCCTATGAGCTCCTATGATTCCTTATTTGAGACTGAGGAAAATGAGGCCCAGGGAAGTTAAAGCCATTGCTCGGCATCACGTGAGCCCAGGGTTAATTGATACTGAGGTCCATGCCCTTTTCACATTGGATATTGCTACCCCGGGAGGATGAAGTGTGGTCAAAGGTAATTAGAGTATATTTTTACAAATCCACCAGACTAACACATTAAAAGAGTGATACTTACTTTCGAGGGGAGGCACTCTGGGAGGAATAGGAACAAAAATGTCTTATCATCATTGTTAATAAGCCTTATATTTCATGCATAGTGTCCTATGTAACAAAGGCAAAAATAGTTTTTGAGACACTTCTCTGGGCCATAATTTCCACTCTGATGAGACTCTGTATAAGATATTAACAATTTCATGATGAAAAGACAAAGAACGATATAGCTATCATGACTGATCTGTGGCTACGGTGTTAAATCATGCTGTACAACATAGGTGGGGAAGAGAAGATTGCTCACAAAGAGTTAGAAAAGTGCGGGAAGGTTTTGTGAAGGGATTGGACTTTATAGGAAGTGTAGCATTTAAAAGAAGAAGACTAGATGAAAGTGATCAGCAAAGACATGTCCTTTGTCCACGAAGCTGAAGAATTATTTGGAAAGTCTGAGGAGGAAAAGAACATTCCTTATAAACAAAGACAGGGAGGTAGAATGCATGGAGTGTGCTGTTCCTGGCAGGAAGTACAGGATCTAAGCCTGTAGAAGCAATAGCCCCAGACGATAGGGTCTTGAGCACTCATCCAGGGTAGACATGGAGATCCAACACTGTGGGTAAGTGAGAGTCACTGGACGTTTGTGAACAGTAGGTGGTAAGTACAAAGCCAGGTTTTACGCAAGTTCATTTGCTAATGGAATTTAGATCTTTGTAAAGATAAGACACCAGAGCCAGAGGACAGGAATCAGAAGTGTCAGCAAAAGCCACCCTCAATATGCTGCTAGCCATTTAATTTGTCACTTCTTCTTTCATACAGAACTCAGGGGCACATGATGGCCATCCTCCAAGCTTCTCCCCGCTTTCTTCTGGCCTCTATTCCTCTTTCTCTGGAGCCCAAGCAGACAGTAGTCATGGTGCTGGGAGCAACCCTTGTCCCAAAAGCCCAGTTGTACAGCCAAAGGTAAGTATCTGAAAAAAAGAAGTTTGAAACCTGGGATCCATATCACCTCCTCTCTAGTCTATGGTCTCCATTCTCTAAAGCAAGTGATGAGGCTCAAAGGCAGGGGAAAATTTCATTTCAGAGAGAAACAAATCCACTTGAAATGCCTTGCAATGGATATACAAATATGAGTGAGGGAGTATCCCAGGCTGTCATTTCTAGAGGTCATCCCAGAAACCATGATGACTAAAATGGCCATAGCATATTTGCAAAACACCAACACAGATGGGTTTCTATGGAATTGGAAATTGGAATTGAAGAAAGAGGGGGGTAAAAGGACTCTTGGAAAGAACTGGAGGGATGCAGGAATTTGGGATCCCAGTGCCATATCTCTGTGGGAAAAGGAAGAGATGATGCACTTTAGCTGGTGGATGAAATCTGAGATGGGAAGGGTCTAAGACATGAGGAGTTCTGAGGGCAAAGAAGGAGCAGTAGGAAGGACACAAGCATAAGCTAGTCATGACACTGGCAAAAGGAGAGAGACCCTGACATGGCCTGGCTCTCCATGGAAGAGCACACTCCTAGCAGCTAGTTCAGGAAGAGACAGCCCAGCAGTGTCTCTGACTTTGAAAATAGATCCAGTTTGGAATAAATTGACCTGAGAAATGAATTATTCTGCAAATTTCTGGGTTGGTGAACCACCTTGCATTGGACTGGGCTCTTATTTTATTTCCTTTTCTCATCTTGTTTTCTCCTAAGAGAACATCTTTGTATTGGAGTGGATTCTTGTTTTATTTTTTTTTCTTTTATTGTTTTCTCTAAGGTATCTCAGAGAAGGAAATGTATCAGTGAGGGTCCCACACTAAGTTGCAGCCAGCAATAAATCCACAGAGATACATACTATTTTTAGTGTAATAGAGACATTTGTTATTTTCTTATCTCTGGCTTTTATGATTATTATTTGGCTTCAGATCATTTTCTCTGAATGTAGCTAGTAATTTCTAGAACAGAAAGCAGTACCTCCTCTGACACATGAATTGAATACCTTTCTCTGTATTTTACCCACATGCAGATGGCTGGTTTACACTCTTCTGATAAGGTGGGGCCAAAGTTTTCAATTCCATCCCCAACCTTTTCTAAGTCAAGTTCAACAGTTTCAGAGATCACCCAACCTCCATCCTATGAAGATGCAGTAAAGCAGGTAACCATATTTATTCTTAATGGAAAAATAGATGGACTCAGCAGACATTTTTTATAGTATTAAGCTTCATACAGTTTATAAATTCCAATATTGAGTGTGTTGGGCACCTCCCCAACAGACTGAGCAAGGTATCTACACCCTAGCTATAGAAGATATTGCAACACAGATGGTTGTAACTTAGGATGGTTCAACTTACTACTTTTCAACTTCATGGTGGTATGAAATAATACGCATTTAGTCAAAGCTGCATTTTTGAACTGGGATCTTTTCTTGGGCTAGCAATATGCAATATAGTCCTCTAGATGCTGGGCAGCTGTGAAGAGCCACAGCTCCCAGTCAACCACACAATCAGGAGAGGAAGCAACCCAGACTTTATAGTGTACTGTGCTGTAGAGCTAGGATGCTCCATAGGTCAAGTGTACTCAATGTATTTTGACTTATGGTATTACTTGATATAACTCCAGTATAATCCAAGGAGCATCTGTGAAGTTGAGTGACACAAGGAAAAGGGGCTGGGCTGGCTTCCAGGAGGCCTGGCCTTAGTGCTGGCTCTGCCGCCTACAACTGCCACTGAGGTTAGGCACACACTTACCTTCCCTTCTATAAAATAGGAATGATATTTACTTTGTAAGGATTCTAGATAATCTAGCACCTATCACATTGTTTGGAATTTTGGTAAGTACTCAAATATGTTAGAACAGTTGTCAGGGAAATACTTTCTAAGGTTCTTCCTAGCTTTAAATTCAGTGGTCCCAGCTGATAGTTGTTGAATCCAAGTAATGACTGCAGTAGGATCATTGTCTCTTCTACTTTCATTTGCACTTGGAAAGTTTCAAGATAAAAAGTAAGAAAAAGATAACGAATGATCATATGGAGTCAGCCCTCTGTGTCTGGATTCAACCAGCTGTGCATGAAAAATGTTAAGAAAAATAATTCCAGAAAGTGCCAAAAAAGCAAAACTTGAATTTGCCACCCAACAAGCACATGCTGAATCCATGTGAATGAAGTGGTGGTCTCCTGACACTTTGCTGTTCTTCTGTCTCCCTCCAGCACTCCAGTAGTGTTTGAACACTACTTGCCTTATCTCCTGTTCATGTACTGTATTAGACCTATGATGGTTGTACTTGTACTGAAGATATACAGACTTTTCTCGTCATTATTCCCCCAAACAACCACACAGCATTTACACTGCATCAGATAACTTAAGTAATCTGCAGATGATTTAAAATATACGGGAAGATGTATACAGATTCTATGCAAATACCACATCCTTTCATTTAAGGGACCTGATCATCTAAGGATTTGGGTATTCAAGGGTGTATGTGTGTGCTAAAACCAATGCCCTGAAAGTAGTGATGAATGACTGTATTTCAAATGGCTTGATCTTAGATATGACATCAGATAACCCTGAACATGTTCTCAACCCAGAAAAGGGCATGTACAATAGTTGCTGCCTCCTGACTGGTATCCCAAGACCCAAACAAGTCAGAGTAAGATTTTCTTTGGTGTAAAGAGTGTGTTAAAGGTCAGTTGCTGTGCAAAGTGGGGTTTTCTCATTTCTGAAAAATTCGGGAATCCGGCAACAATGTGAACACCACTTTTCTGCCAAACAACAATTCTTCTCTTATCTGGCTCATTGATGTTATCTGCAAAACTCTTCAGGCACATGGTAGCTTCTGGACTGGCAAATGATTCATTCTTGAACGGAGTTCTCATCCATATCAATTATTGATACCCATGTACTTGGGCTTTGGACTTTCAGAGGAGTGAGAGGGACAGGTACCTTTGTTGTCCCTATCCTCCTTTCCCTGGCATCTGAAACAGCTGATCCTTCACTGTTTCAATAGGAAAAAAAGGCAAAGTGGACTTTCAGAGATAAGAGTCCACTTAACAGAGAGCAGAAAGGAGAAGGTGTACTCACGAGGGTCCACGGGTCATGCAAGCTTTTGAAAAGAGGAACCAAGGATATGCCAAGTTCCTCAGACATATCCACAGCAGCCAAACAACAGGCAGATTCAATTCACTTTAGAGTCAGAAAAGGGTATTCACTGTGTTTAAGATGCCCCACTCCTAGGATGGAAACTTCTCAAGCAACAAAGTACCTATTCTGTGCTGGAAAGCATTCTCCCTCCTTTTCTCCTTCTCTTGTTGAAGTGGATTATTTCATTCAATAGTTTGCCTGCCTAAAATGTATACTGAGATTTACTCAAACATAGTAAAAAAAAAACCTTGAGTCAGTATAACCAAGTTCATGACAGTATAATTCCCTATAGCCAAAAGATGGAAGTAGCCATTCATCTAGCAGATGAACAAATAAACAAAATCCACACTATGGAATATTATTCAGTCTTTTTTTTAGAAAGGGAAGATATGACACATGCTACAGCATACATGAACCTTAAAGACAGTGAAACAGATCACAAAAGGAAAAAACACTGTATGATTTCATTTCGATAAGAGAGATAGAATAGTGAAATTCACGGGCAGAAAGTAGAATGGTGGTTTCTGGGGTTGAGGAAAGGGCAGCTCAGGAGGTTATTGTTTAATGGGTTGCAGAGTTTTAGTTTTGCAGATAAAAAGAGCTCTGGTGATGGATGCACAAAAATGTGAATGTTCTCAGTGCTACTGAACTGTGCACTTAAAATGATTGAAGTGGTAAATTTTATGTTGCGTGTATTTTACTACAATTTGTAAAAAGAATCCTTAAACAAAAATAGTTCAAAAGTTTACAGACAAAAGAAACCACCTTTAATTTAAACTCTTTGCTCTCCTTTGGTTAATTTGCAACAGCAAATGACACGAAGTCAGCAGATGGATGAGCTCCTGGATGTCCTCATTGAAAGTGGAGGTAAGACTACCTTGCTTCATGCATGTTAGGATCCTCTGCACATGTACATACTCAAGAACATGATGTTTTAGACCAAGGTCAGGTGCACACTGAGTCAGGTGCACCAGGTGGTCTGCAGGCAGAAAGTTACTTCCTCAGAACTTGAGGCACACTTTGGGAGCATACAAAAGAAACACTGGGGATGCCTTCATGCTAGAAACACTTTTTGCCAATTATTTTTTATCCTAATCCCTGTTTTCTTAAATATTTTCCCTTGCTATATCATTTCTCTCTGCAGTTCAAATCTCAATGTCTCTGTCTTTTAATTATAAGTGAAAACAACCAGATAATGAAAATGCTGTGCTAGCTACTCAAACTGAAATTCAGTTGGTCATCTTCTACTGGATGGTCCATTCATGCTTAAATGTTATTCAACTTAGCAATAAAGAGTAATCAAGATATTCTTTTTTGTCCCCTTTTTTTAACTCATTCATTTATTTTGAAATACATTACATAGTATGTGCCTAGAATTTGAAAACCACAAATGAATGAGAGGATCTAAGGAGGGTACATATAGGTTTAAAAAAAAGAGACTTCAGGGCTGAACCCTTAAAGAAGGAGTTGGCCAAGGAGAAGGAGTGGCCAAGAATTATGCTAGAGTCTATTCTCCACCAGCCAACTCCCCACCTCTATGGAGTATATCTGGTAAGGGAGATGGACAATAGCAAGTAAATGAATACTTCCTATTATAACAAGAAGGAAGAAGAAAGAGATGTGTACAGGTGTATGTGTGTATATAAGCCTTGTGATGAAAAAGTGAGAATTTGTGTCAAAGGACCCTTCTTAAAATGAAGTATATGGCAAGGTCAGAGAATAGTGAGGGGCAAAGGAAAATGAAGGGGAGTCAAGGAGAGAACAGTTACAAGTTAATCATGAATGGGTCAAGTTTTCTAGGACGATTGTTGAACAATAGTCAATGCCAATGGTAAGCCTGATACCATGAATTTAAAGTGAAAACCATTAGCTTAGCTGTGTAATTTTTCCCATCCAACATCCAGATAACTTGGGTAGGTTCTAACAAAGCAGATGGTGAGGCTCATACAGATGCGAATCCTTGCTAGGCTGGTATAGCAAAAGGAAAGAAGGGCAAGAGAGCTGAGGGCATTTGCAAGACAGTAACTATAACAGTGGATTAGAAAACAAAGACTACACAAGGAAGAAGATGATATAGAAGTTGCTGGTGCACAGAGATAAAATAGTGAAGTCAGTGGATTGGAGTGACTCAAAGTGACTGAGAAATTATTGTCCCAGGTACTTAATACGGGAGCTGGAGAGATGGGGAGATGGACAGAGAGTGGGAAATTTTGTTTGAAATGGAGCTTTCAGAAGGAAGAAGTGTGCTGGGATAGATCTAAGGTTCCAGCAGAGAAGGAATTCAGGCAACCCTGGGGTTTAGGACAAGGCACTGAGAGGTCAGTGTGGACAATGGATGATTTTGAGAATTCTAAGTCACAGAGAATGAGAAAATGTGAAGGAACAAAAAGGCAGTGAAGTAGGGAATGGAGTCTTCATTGGATAAGGAGGTGTGACCAAGGCCTCCTTATCCCTCTGGGGATGGGAAGGAAGAGGGCAGCTCCCAAAACTGCTTAGGAGTGGTAAGAAGGAGGAAGGGTAACAATCAGAAAAGTGGCAGTGGGATTGCACCTGACCCCTCACCTTCTGGCCCCCACAGAGAGGATAAGGGAAGATGTACCATTCTCAGAGGACAGCCAATGGTGAGATGAGGAGGAGGCAAAGGATCTTTCAGAGAAGAGAGTTTGATCATCACAGAGTATAAGTTCCAGAGCAGAGGATTTGGGGAGATACCCAAGGGAAGGAGAAATGGAGACTTAGAGAGCGATTTAGGGAGGAGACTGGGAGGAGTGATAAGCAGGGAAGGATGCACTATCAATGTCTAAGTGCCACTCCTTCATCCAAGCACTCAGTTTGAAGTGATGTAACAATTTGCACTATGTTTTGCCAACAGAAATGCCAGCTGATGCCAGAGAAGATCATTCATGTCTTCAAAAAGTCCCAAAGATACCCGGGTCCTCCCGCAGCCCAACTGCAGTCCTCCCCAAGTCTTCAGCCTCCTTTGAACAGGCATCTTCAGGAGGCCAGCTCTCCTTTGATCACTATGCCACCGACAGTGATGAGCACCTGGAAGTCTTATTAAATTCCCACAGCCCCACTGGAAAGGTGAGCGAAGTTACCCTTCTCAAACTTGGGAGCGAGGAGCCTCCTTTCGAGGGGGTCATGGATGGCTTCTCAGGGAAGTCTGCAGAAGAGCTCTTTAACACACATGAGATCTTGCCAGGCCCCCTCTCCCCCATGCAGACCCAGTTTTCACCCTCTTCAGTGGACAGCAGTGGGCTGCAACTAAGCTTCACCGAGTCTCCTTGGGAAACCATGGAGTGGCTGGACCTCACTCCACCTAGTTCCACACCAGGCTTCAGCTCCCTGGCCACCAGTGGCCCCAGCATCTTCAACATTGATTTCCTGGATGTTACAGATCTCAATTTGAATTCCCCCATGGACCTTCACTTACAGCAGTGGTAAGATGCTGGGGGCACCAGTGCTAAGGAAGACCAATAGGAACACCACAGGAGAAGCGCACAACTGTAACTACTTATGTCATCCTAAGGAAGCAATGGAAACTTCTGTGACAATCGAGAAGTACAAGCAGGAGTCATTTAAAAAACATTTTATATATATATATATATATATATATATATATATGAAATGTACTATTTACCAACATTCAGTAACTGTTAATAATTTCAGAAATGCATTTTAAAATGTGCTTTCTCAAATTAAGAATGCCAGAAAAAATTCTTTCACTGCCTTTTCTAATATCAATTTTTTTCCAGCCCATAGATTTTCTCAGGCGTTGTTGGGGCATAAGCTCACACTGTAAGCTTTTGATGTGAATTCACTAGGCATACTATGGAAAGAAAACATAGAAGACTTTGGGGAGTACAAAGAAGCCAGGCCCTCAAAGGTTATGGAAGACACATCCATGGTAGAGACCGCTTCCTGGCTCTCCATTATCTATCTTTCAAAAGAGCAGCCAGGCCCAGTTACAGTTACAGAGTCTATTTTCAATCTATTCCCAGTAAAGAAAAATCAACTCAGTGTCCCTCTATCTCCAAACCCTCCCACTGGAGTGGTTCCAACCCAGTGACTTTGTGGTCACTGATAACAACTAACTTTCACTGAGTCCAGCGAATCCATCCAACACTTTCATTTTTTTTCAACCAGGAGCCCACTCATTCCCACCACTCTGCTGACCAGTCTTATATAATAGGTGAGAACCTGGAAGCAAGAAAACTTCCTGGCATGGAGAGAGATTTCTTAGGTTCTCCAATATAACTCCCCTCTAGTTCCAAAGACTAGAGAGAGGCAGATGAAAAAATGCCTGTAGGCCCAGGAAGCCATATCAGGGATAATTTAGACAGTATAAGAGAACAATGTTGTCTCACTTATCTTCAGAAGAAATACCATAGATAAGATTATAAGATGACTACTTATGGAGGTCCAACTTCTTTTTTTTTTCTTATGATGCAGTAGCAGGGATCCACCTCAGTTTATCTTCTTCTCACTTGACTTTTCTGTCAAGATATGAATCCTTTCTTGCTCCTCTTTTGTTGATCTTTCTTATTTTCCCCAACATTGAAAGGAGAGGATTTCTCAAATCCAACAAACTGCCATACTTCCAATAAAGCCATTTTTTTAGAATGTTAAAAGTCATGGTTCTCTTGTAGAACTCATTCTTCACATGCTTAGTCAGCTACAGAAGGAATTCACAAGATTTTCCTTAGGAAGAAACCGGTGGTGTGGCCCATCAATCACAAAGCTCATTCTACTCTTGTTTGAGTTACAAGCAGTCTTTGATTTGTGTTGCTCTGGGGAAATTGGAAAGCGTTATATTGTAAAGATAAATAAGGATGATATTTACAAGAGACAGTATTTCAGGTTTGGGTTTCTGAAAGAAAGTACAATTGCACATTGCAAATGATAGAAGGAAAAGAAAAGATCACAGTCTAACGAGCACTCCTCATTCCCTCTTGTGCTTTGGCAGGAAGTAGGGGGAAAATGAAAAAAATCAAATTGCAGGACACTTTCTCAGTGTGACTCCAGTTCATCATTTATAATGTTGCATGCTGTAGAAAGTAGCTACTGCTATTTTGTTTGTTTTGTTTATTTTAATTTAAGTCACTAAGGCACTGTTTTCTTCTTTTGTAAAAAATGTTCACTGTGCACTTATAGGGAAAATAATCAAAAAAATGTTGTGACTTTAGAAGTTCTTTTTGATAAACCAAGGATTTAGAAGTCATTCCATTGTTAACTTGTAAAAATGTGTGAACACAGAGTGATTTTGGAGACTGCTACTCTGAAAGCTGCCAGATCTTGTTCTAGGGAGGAAAATATAGACATATGCAGATGTATGGATCTACACATATGTGCCTGCTATATGTGTGCACATGCATACATATGCATAGCTACGCACATATATGTGCATGCATGTGTCTTGAAAAGCAGTGTTGCAGAGTTCTATACCAAAAGTCTTTAACCTTCAGTCTGCTGTGAATGATACCTAGCCTTTCTCACTACAAGTTCCTGATTCATCAACCAGACTACACGTTGCCTCTCTGTGTATGACTAAGGGCTCCAGCCCAGTGACTCACGGCCACTTGCTTCTCATGAACAAGCTCCTCCTGGCAATGACCATGGATGTGAAAGGACAGAGTGGCTTCTGCATCGGTAGCTGCCATGGTCCTCCCTTCTCTTGTAGAAGAGTATAAAAGGAACATGAAAATCATTTTACATTCCTTGATGTTCATTGTGCTTGAAAAGATCTGCATGGTATATTTGTTATTTCTCTTGTATGTCAGTCATCAGAACCAAAAATCTAGAGGGAAAAGTTGCCATGAAGATGAAGCTCTGGGGAAGAACCCTTGTTGACACATTCCACACTTTGGTCTGTTCCTCAGATGTTGATGTTTTATTTGAGTCTTGACAAAGCTTGCTGGTCCATACACTTTCCAGGTGACATGTTGTGCTAAATGTATGTTATCTCCCTCCTTTCTTTGGAAAACAAACTCACATGGTGTCCGTCCCTATTCTGAGACCCTGAGTGCTAATGCTTTTTTTCCTTTGAGAATTTCTATCTGAGGGATTAGACTCAGTTATGAGGCCTCTGTAGTTGTCCACATGGTGCCTTTCATTAGGATGTTTTTATTATATTACCCAAGACTGATACTGATATGTATATATATATATATATATATATATATATACAACTCACAGTAGACAAGAGACAAAATGGCTTCTATTTGCTACTACAAACCACCACAGTTAAAAGAGCAGGTCACTGGATAACTAGCCTCAGTCTCCCCCATAGTCTCTCACTCCATATTCACCTTATGTCTTCATATCTCAGCTGGCAGATTTGGGGGTGAAAACTGTAGATAATTGGGAGAGAATTGATGAAGGTGGCTTCTGCCAGTGGAGCAGATAATTCATGTTAATTCATCTGCCTCCAATTGGGGATTTTTACTTGAAATTCTTTTAAGCTCTTAGTTGTGTCCTCTTTTGTGGTGACAAATTGGGCACAACTAAAAGGTATATAGACATATGGCCTCACTCAAGTTTCTCAGTGCTCTTTGAGCCTGAAGATGACTGCATGTAGTCAGGACCCCTGGATGCCCATGGTGATGCAGACATGCAGGCCTTTGCAACCATGCCTAGTGTTGCTACAGTCCAGTAATTCACACTTGTCTAATGGGGCCAGAAAATTCACTTGTGCAAGTGCTTTCAGTAAGCCGGTGCTCATTAGTAGTTGACCTGATTTTAGCAATATCATGAGACAACACATATACTAAGGGAGAGAGAGAGAGGGAGAGAGGAAGGGAAAAAGAGAGGGAAAGAGGGAGGAAGGGAGGGAGGGGGAGGAAAAGAGGGAGGGAAGGAGAGAGGAAGGGAGGAAAGAAAAGGAAGGAGTAAAGAAAAATAGGGACCAACTTCCTGATCGATGAACCTCTCAATTCAGCTAAGACGTCACATTATAAAAAGTGAATCACAAACTTGTAAGTGGGAAGCCATTCTTAACAATGCCATGATTACACAAGTAAATGTGGAAACTAAGACAGCCTCTACCTGAATAGTCCAGGCTCTGTGAACTAGCAACCTTACTCCATTCAAAAACATTTATTTCTACTCTGGAAAAAAAAAAGAATTAATAAACCCTATCCCAAGCCTTTAAGACAGAGCTTTTCAAAAATTATTTACTTTCAATTCAGCCACCTCTTCTAAAGCTAGTCTGGCTGAAACTCCCACGTCAAATTTACTCATCCACTGGATGAGTGTTTGAAGTCTACCATGAGCAAAGGATACACACCCTCAGATACCAAATACTGAATTGATTCAGCACAGATTGGTCACCTGTTGAATGACTGAGGAGTTACAGTTCCTATAAGCAAGAATATTGGAAGCTCCCAAACCTAATACTAGATAGCTTTTAGCTATAATAAAAGAGGTCATGGTTTTTCCAGAAGAGAAAACAGGAGGGCTTCTTTTAGCTAAAGGTTGTCTCCCACACAAAGTGCTCTTGTCTTTTTCTCTGTGGTCAAATGGCAGCAGTCTATCACTTAGAGATCTCTATTCCCACCCTTTAAAACATCTGTGAGAATTTTAAGGTTTATTTTGATTGCCAGATACAGAAGCCCCTTGAAAATAAGGGGAGGATAGAGGAGACATTCTTTTGTCCTCTTTGTAGCCTTATTCATCCTAACAAGCCTTTTAGACAAGAGGGATGGGGGATTAGGAGGGTGAGGTACCCATGGGACCCTCCTGAGAAAAGCTTCAAAAAGTGTGAAGGCAATTTGGCTTCCTCGCTCCTCTGCAAGCTTTTGTTACATTCACCACAGTGAGAAGGTCAGGAATACTAGATCATGGTTCGCTATTAGATATGAGAAAACATGGAGTGGAAGGAATGGAGTGTCTGTATTTTCCTATAAATCTAATATAAACCAGCAAGGAGACTCAGATGCTGGTATTGCTGATGGGAGCTTCACTAGACAGATGACGTGAATGACCCACAGAGTCCAGGTCCTGGAACAAGATGCTTCTGGTACAAGATGGCCCTAGAATGCTAAGAGCTGGTTGGTTGTGTTAAGAAGCCTAGCTAGGTTGAGTCTACTCATGGGAGATTATTTCAAGATAGGAAGGGATTTGGGAAGAATTTTGTTTTCATCTGCCAGGGATTGTGTACTAGGACTCATTGGATTCAATAATGTGTAAGTAAGCTCCCTTCTAAATCTAGGATTCGAAGATTTTTCCCTATGGCTTGAGATAAACCCCTGGAGATCTCCTTCATTTATTGTAACCACCTGCCCCCATCACGGACACTGGGAGAATGAGTATCCTGTAGATTGTTTAGCTGCTCTTGAGTGTTTATGGAAAAGGGAGTATAGCAATGAGGGTCCTGCAAGCTATTTAAATGTTTTCTGAAGGAACAAGACCAACTCTGGTCCCAGACTTTAGTTTCCAAATGCCTTGCAGTGAGGATGAAGAGCAATGGGTTGCTGGGTGCTTAAAATCCTCCCTCAGTGAAACACAAAGAAGCATTCAGTAAAGAATAAATAAGCTAGCAAGCATGGGTTTTCACAGGCCCCATGTGGTGGTGTATTCACGCTGGCTTTCCTCGCTCAATTCTATACCATAAGAAAGAAATGTGGTTACTAGGAAGACCAAAGAAGCAATGGCTAACATACCAAAGTTGGCATGTGTTCTTTTTAAAAAAAAAACAAACTTATATTTTTAAATAAAATGTTTATTTTAAAGAGATGAAAACCTTTTTTCTTGACCAAATAATGTACCTAGG